GCCAGGAATAAAATCAACTACATCTGTACAGACAATGGGTAAGTTCAATATCATCAATCAAGACTGGGATCAACTAGGAAACAGACTATCAATTGCTCATGTGCAAGATCAAATTGAAGCTGAAGAAAATAAAAATAATTCCTCAAAAGCCAAAGTATAACCTTGAACACATCCACCTGAACTTATAGACCACCTCAAGATAAATTTGGTGCACTAATACTAATGACTGAAGACCAGAAGAGTTGTGGAAAAACATCAAGGACATCATACATGAAGTGAAAAGTCATTAAGAAAACAGGACAGAAAGAAAAGATCAAAATGGATGTCAGAAGATACTCTGAAACTTGCTCTTAAGGGCAGAGTAGCTAAAGCAATTGGAAGAAATGATGAAGTAAACGAGCTGAATAAAAAAGTTAAAAGGGCAGCTTAAGAAGACAAGGTAAAAATATTAAGATGAAATGTGCTGACGTGGAGTTAGAAAACAAAAAATTAAAATCTGATTAGCATACATGAATGATTAGTTCATTTATTTTCAAACTTTCTTGTTTTGTGATAAATGCATGCAGAATTTTAAGTTTCTGTCTAAAGACCACTTTCACTGCATCTCACAAAGTTTTGGTCTGTAGTTGTTGCATTGACATTCAGTTCTAATTATAGTCTGGTTTGCTACGATACATACTAATTACTGTGACTAAAATTAACTCAAGTCAAGTAATGAAAAGGAGAATAATGTCTTTATAAGAGGAATGTTTCATTGGTTCATATACATTTTTTTCTAACACATTCATGTTTTACACAACCAAGTAAACATAATCAGTCCCCAGGTCATGATTGTGTAGCAGCCAGAACTTCCCCCCAAAGCTCAGGTTATAGCATGAACATTGCAGAGCAAAACCTTTATCTTACCAGGCCAACCATATTCACATTTGAGGTTATAACAATCCAGTTTGAAGACGTGATCAAACTCAAAGTAGAATAACTGAAAGCTGAAAAACCAAAAGCAGATTTCAACTCAGTCCAAGGAAGTTTTCATACTTGGTAGTAGGCAACCAAGTAAGGCAGTTAGGTTGTCAGATCAATGCAAGGGGTCATTCACTCTGAGCTTGATCAGGAAGGCTGCAGAGATGAGGCTTGCAATGCCCAGAAGACCAACTTAGATGACCTGTGAGACCACTTTTAGTTCTGAGGTTCAAGATTTTTATAATTTTGTGGTGCCAGGTACATAACACCCCTTCCTACATTACTTTCTGCTTACAGTGAGTCCTGACGAAATATAATATCCTCCTCTATTCTCTGGGTGGTAATTGTCAGACATGGTTGCAGTTACAGACTCTTTGATATCTCTGACAGGATGCACATGGACCTCCTGACTCTGATGAGAATGATGATCACCAAAAGCTGGGCCCTGCTTCTGATGGACAAAAGAATGCTGTACCCATACAAAAGTGCCAGTAGTACTGAGAAAGTGGTACCTTGTGGACTTGCAGGAGCCAATCCCTGGCCAACTCCTCCACCTCACAGTCAAAATAGCTGTGCAGGCTCAGGAGCACTATTTATGTTAGGTACTGTTGGTGTAAGCACTTCACCAGGTAGAAAAGGTGACTTCTATGGGAACTCACGAAGTCAGCCTTGTACCAGCTTGCTATTTCTATCAGTCAGAGTTCACTTAGGGAAGGGAATTATTGTGCTTATTATAGAATGAAAGATTTATTTTAGGAATTAATTTACATAATTGTGACAGAAACTGGAAAAATAAAGATCTAGAAGGAAGCATTGGAAGATCAGAGTAGAACCACTGACTATTCATCCTGAAACATTGATACACATGGACAAGACAGAACATGCAGGAAAATCTGAGAAGTCGAGCAGATACAGCCACTGAAATGAGACCACAGCAGGCATCTCAGGGAGAATTCTTTGGGAAACTGTTTCCTCTGTGTAGCTGCTTCTCTGTGGGTCTACATCCAAGCATCCAGCTGTGGGTTTGGGATTCCTGTTGGTATGCAGGGCCAATATTTTCTAAAATGAGAGCTATATCTGTAGTAGAGAGAACAAGGACCAGCTTGGCACCTGACTGTCTAGCCATCAGTATATCTCACCATGAAGACCTTCAAACAGTAGGGACTGTTACTTCACTTTGCAGACCAAATCTCAAAACCAAGAAGATTCTGGGAAACAATTCCCAACTTAATCAACTTGGGATTGTTTTAGGAATAAAGGATTTGTTTGAGGAATTAGACCTTACACAATTGTGGGAGAAACTCTAGACTGAGTCAACAATCCCACATTCAGCTATCAGTAGAGCCAAAACAGCTCTACTTTGTGATCTTTATTATGACTTCCTCTTTAACCCATAAATTATTTAGAAGTAGTTTTAAAAATTCCAAATGTCCAGAGGGATTCCTGGTAATGGGTATTAAATCTACCATCCCACTATAAACAACTACAGTAACACTACAAACGCTGGAATCTGCATAAGATGGAAACCTGCCACAGAATATTTTCAAATATTTTCCACTAATTGAGAGCCATGGAAAAGTAGTAAGACTGCACCCTGACAAAGATGGAAAATTGAGGGTTCTGGAAAAACAAGGCAGTCCTATTGAGTTCCAGTTCTCACAGTTTTCACTGTATAAAGCAGGACAAATATATGAAGCAATGCTCTATAAGCACTGGACAACCAGACAGTGTAAAGTGATGGTGAATAAATTAGTGTCAATTAGTGGCTTCCAGGGCTTAGAGTTGGGAGATGGATAGATGACAGATAGATAAGTAGATAGCTATAGATAGAGATACAGTTTCGTTGTAGAGATTGGACAATTCTGTATCCTAATTTTGGCATGGCAGAGGTTACATGACTCTATACACATGATAAAATTTCATAGAATATAACCCACCCCAAGAAAATGAGTACATGTAATAAATAGTGAAATCCTAATAAGGTCTATAGTTTAGTTAATAGCACTGTACCAATGTCAATTTCCTAGATATGATCATTTCCTGTGGTTAGGTAAGATTTTGTCATTGAGAGAAGCTGTATGAAGAGTACAACAGAACAGTGTGTACTGTTTTTGCAACTTCTTCTGGATCTTAAATTATTTCAAACCAAAAACATTTTTAAAATAATAGGTTGTGTCCTGATAGAGACAGTATGCCTATCAGTCATCAAGTGACTAGGCAAATAAACCTTTCCTTCATAAACTGTGCTATCCTATTGACTGAACCACAAAATTGAACATGCACAGAAGAATTACATCATAAAATGGAAATTATATACAAGTCCAAGTCTAGGTCATAGACTTCATAAGCAGTGGCAAAACTCTCATAATCCCTGTTCCTAATACTTTGCTGCCTCTCCCTCAACCCATATGAGGAAATCCCTATAACTAGTACAGCAGAGAGAAAAGCACAGGCCTAGTTTACAGTGGATCTGCACAATGTATTGATACCATCCTCATTTAAGGTGGTGTTGAATGTGGTGAAAGAAAATCCCTCCTGTAAGAACTTTGAATGGTATATCTGGCTGTCCACTTCACAAGGAATGAGAGATGGTCTGAGTGCAGATATACAATGTATAATGAGCAGTCACTAATGGGTTGATACACTGGTCAGGGACTTGGAAAACAAAAAAATTGAAAGATTAATGACAGGGGAGTCTAGAAGAGGGTATGTGAATGTATCTGTCATGGAGCACACAGAGAATGTGAAGATAATCACATCCTATTTAAATGCATACAAGTGTAGATCCACCATGAGATGTCTCAGTGATCAGGTGGATAAGATGATCCACCTGGTGATTTCATTCAGCCTCTTTTCCTAGCCACACCAATACTTGCTTCCTTACACTGATATAGTCAGCTGCCATGAAGCAAGCTATTCTATGGAGAGGTCTACATGGCAAGGAACTGAGGGATGCTCTGGATTATAGTCAGGAAGGAAATGAGTTCCTCATGTAGTCCAACAGTCTACCAGGAACCAAATTCTGGCAGCAATCAAGTGAGCTTGGAAGCAATTCCTTCTCCAGTTGAGTCTTCAGATAGCTACAACCCTAACTGATACCTTGATTGCAGCCATGTGAGAACTCCTAAGCCAGAAGACATAGCCAAGTTTTGGCCAAATTCCTGACCCACAGAGACAGTTA